AAGACCTTTGTGATTTCAACGGTTGGCGAAACCACCTTGTTGGGAATATTTTATGGTGTTCAATCTAGTTAGTTATCTTTGTATTTGTGTAGTTATCAATTAAACGTGTAATACGGGCCACAAAAGTGTATCAGCCCGGGGGCTTCCTTGTAACCCGTAAGTTAGCCAACTTCTCCTATAAAAGGAGGCTAACTTACGGGAACCCTAACTAACGATCACAGATAGAGGCTTAGAGTTCAGAGGCGTAAAGATATAGAGAGATAGGGTTTGCCGCTGCTCTCCTTCTCCAGGGAGAGCAGCGGCCAGTTTACACGGTATACCAGATTCGTATAATATCTACATATCTTTCTATCTGCTTCTTCTATAACTGCTATGGTTGTATGTTTGTTAGTATTCTGGGATTAACACACCCTAGGGGGAACAAGAAGAGAAAAGCCAATATTTATAGATGGTTGCCTCCCTCTTGTGATAAATTTTCTGTCAATATTTCCTTTACTCAATCTGGTGTGAACTTTAAAAGTGGGACTGCTATTCGTAATCACAACGGTGAATTAGTTTTTCACCTTCATGGTGACTACTTTGGCACTTCTCCCTTCACATCATTTTTTGAAACAATTTTCATAGCCATAAATGCTTGCAGGGTTAGGTCTCTAAGAATCCACAGCTTGGACCTCGATAACAAGCATGTCAAAAAGGCCATTCAGCAACATTGCAAATACCATTGGGATCACATCCATACGATAACGAGAATTAGGAAGATCTTGCATCAAGATTACCTTTACATTAACGTAATCCCTGAAAATACCAATGTGGTTGCTAGATATACTAGCCTCGGGAAGGACGTGAAATCTTCCCATTTCTCGAGGATTCTTAAATTTGATGCGATCGGTTTCCCCTATGTTGTTTGACTTTCCTGGTAGTATGCTTTGGTTGATGTCCTCCTACACCATTTTGTATTCTTGTATTTTACTCAAATAAATTCTCCCTTTTCTAAAAAAAACAAAAAAAGTAATGATATAGATGCTTTTAAGTGATTCAAAGTTGTTATTGTAGGATCAATTCACCCATTTGGATAAACTTCTCAGTGGTTCACCCCATTCTTAGGCTTTCTAACCTCAAGCTCTCTTAACTACATAGTTCTGTTGTTAAATAACAGTCATATCCTTCTTAAACCTAGTTGGTGATAAGATGGTGAACACCCCTCTATTTAACACATTACTATGTATTCCCTTTAGTTAGGGTAGATTCCTGTGGGGCACCCCCAAAGTTCATTAGCTACTGCAGTGTAGAACCCCACTATTGAACGGTGGATGGACATGAAGGGCTGCACCATATCATGGTGCGCACCAACAGGTCGGGTCTAATCAAAGGGTTAGGCCCTGTATAAAATGGTGGTGCTCATCCCCCATAAGACCAATGATTATGCAACTAATCTAAATAACAAATTTTACTAAAGCTATTCGGTGCATATTTGTTCCAGCATGTTTTGTTGCATCATACATGTGGATTAGTCCCATTGAAAATATATTCCATGTTAGTCATTTCATATTTTCTTCACTTCTAACAACAACACATGCTAGATTAGAAATCCAATCGGAAATCTACCGGATGGATGAGCGTAATCACTCTCTTTTTGGACGGTTCCTGAATTGTTCGTCGTAGAACCAAGTTACAGCTAGAGTTACATTAAAGGATGTTGACACTTATTCCAATCATCTCCTTCATCAATAAAACTGCTGCCAAATAAAATTCAATTTTTCTTTTTATGTTTTTCTCTTTCTCCCTGTAAAATTCTTACGCATTAAACTAAATGTTGATCTAACTTGTTAGTCGTATACATTAGCATTAATTTTCATTTCTGACTGTGAACTTATTTATTGTAAATATACTGAAGTTATATATTGATTTCGTAGTTAATGCTTATAGTTTGTTTCGAATTGTTGATTTGTGGACTTCACTTTTTTATTTCTGAAGATTAACCTACACTTCTAGTCGTTCTAAGTTTCTCAAATTTATTGTGGTATATGTGCAAAAAAGATAATCTTGTTTGAGTGGCATGTTAGTTATTAGTTTGGGAGAAAATATAAACATATGTATCTTCTTGGGGACATCATTTGTTGACGCTAGATATTTGTAATGTATCCACTACATTTCAATGACCATTACAATAAAATGCATGCAAGAACATGAAGAATGGCTAGCTATATTAGACTTTGTGGATAGACAAGTCCATATGAGAGGAGGTTTGTTCTTTTGGTTTTCATTTACTAGAAAATTGTAGCTAATATTTGTTGATACGCAAAACCAGTCTCTAAATTCAATTATACTAGTACCTAGTTGGGAGTAGAGTAGCCTTAAATACAAATTTCCACCAAAATACTAACATATTTGATTTCATTGACTGAATACATGAAGTCAATAGTTTTTTTTGTTAAGTGAAGAGATATGACACATTGCCCTCATCTTTTAGAATCACTTTGATACGACACATAACATGTAAACACAGAAGATCTGTCAGTGATATATATAATAATCAATGTATAAGGTAGGTAGCAATATATATAATGCATGGATATGATGCCGATTTTTTATGAGAAACTGAGTTATAGGTTGTGTGCGTAAATGTAATTAAGGGCACGCGGTGTGACATGAATGCATATAATGTAGTTTTAAATAAAAGCTAAGCATGTATGGGGGCGGATGAGAGGTTCAATTAATTCGTAGTTAAGATCGATAAATTAAAAGCTATAGTGGATTGGACTAGATTGCATGCATGCTGGGATGCATACTTACTTGATGTCTTTGATGATTCGATAGACTTGTTGTTGCTTGGTTCCTGCAATGAGATAGCTAGCACGGGAGGCTTGCTTGGTCGCAATGAAATCAGGGTCAAAGATTTTCGGGAGAGGGACCATGGACTCCATGTAGATTGCAATGGGTCTAGATAATTAATGAAATGATTCATGGTCCTCATTTGCTTGTTGTTCAATTGTAAGTGCACAATTGTGATTTTTTCGAATGATAGGATGCTATAGAAACAAAACTCATGCACAGCGGTCAAGACATGAAATGAAACACATATGATTTGAAGGTCATGGTTTCAGGGTTTGTTGACCACATATGCACTTTGCAAGAACAAAGTGTGTTGTTCACCGGTAAATCGTTAGTGGTGTTTTAGAGAGAGGGGGAAGATACAAATAGAGAGAGAAAGTAGTTGTGCATTAAATGTCAGTCGAACCCTTAACAACTGCCCTGATGGGGGTATTTATACTAGTCATAAATGAGCGGTGCACTAAATGCACGTACACGTGTTGGCTATTCTGTGGACGATACCTCTAATGCGTGGTAGAGTGTGACACATGTCATTCCTGTGAATGACTCATGGATGGATGTCTTATGTAGGACGATGTGATGTTGGCCAAGGTGCTCGCACACCTCGTCCAAGTTGTTCCTCATGTTTTTGAGTGATTCTACATGTGATATATGACTAGTGGATGATGAGGTGACTGGTACGGACATCATCCATATTTTGGTATCCTGGATTGGCATTGTTTGAGAGGGCCCAAATGGTGATATGTTCTTGTGCTGTTGCGTGTCCGAGAGTACGTGGGTCGTGGGCCTGAGCCTATCAATTGTCTTACAAGAGTTGTTGAAAACCAAGTCAAAGACTCCAAATGATTCATACAACTATGTTGTTTAAGTATGATGGTTGGAGTTACATTTGTGGGAGTCATGTATATGATTGGTAACAAATATAGCTACATATAACAATGGCTTTATTGTAATGGTATCAGTATGTACCACTTATTGTTAGTTTAATTGCTACTTTATAGTACTTTGTAGTCTTTAATCTAGATTAATGTACACCATTTAACGTTTTGCATCGGTGTTTGTACCATTCATGTACTCCCTCCATCCCCAAAACAACTTCACGGTCACTATTCATTGGTCAACTTGAATCACTCCTAATCTTTTATTTTATATATCAAATTTTTATCAAATTTTAATTTTCTTGATCAGGCTTTGTAGCGGTTTTAATGTAGTTCCTGAATATGTAAATTTTATTTACTAAAAATAATCTGAGTGTGAACATGGTTCGAGTTACTTTATCGTCGATCAAGCATCGTAAACCGAACGGGAAGTTAATTTTGGGACGGAGATAGTAGTATTTACCATTTCATGAATTTTGTATCTTTGTTCATCGGGATCTATCTTGAGTAGAATATGACAGTCACACAAGTCCCAAATGTACCATTTCAAAGTTTTTTGTGCAAATTATTGACCCATGATCACAATAAAAAAGGACAAACAATGAGCTATGATTGACCTATTGCAAATCCACATAATAACTTCACAATAAAGACCAAACAATAATGACTTAAACCTACAATATCAATTCACAACCATAAAGCTTAAATCATTGTTTACAAGAACCATATATATGTACTACCGATACATGACATTAAAAATATCACGAAGTCTAAATTTTAAAAGTATCCACAATAGTTTCCACCCAAAAAACATACAACACCACATTATGTATACATGTGATTCAAAATATTGTGAAGTCTTAATTTAAAAAGAGTTTCTGGGTTCTTCTGCGTCCTCAGCTAACCACTCTTTCACTTGGTTGTCCTGGTTGCAAGAACGTGAGAACACAGTTAGTTTTGATATACTATAACTACAACCCACCCTCTCTCTCTCACTCACACACACACATTTTACAACTTTACTTACATTCAAACGAATTAATTCCACTTTAGGTTCTCAGAGTTTTGCGTCATTTTCATATTTAGTCCTCGTCTTTCACTTTATCCATTTTTGATACATGACTATTGTTTTCTTGATCATTTGTGGTCCATTTCTGAGCATTTTTACTAACGAAAAAGGACTAATTGTGGAATCGATAAAAAACTCGATGAACCATAAGTGTAATTTCTTCATTCAAACACCCCAATATACTTTGTTTTAAAAAGTTTTAAGAAACAGATCCGATCAGTGCTAAATGCTTTCCCTGCCCATTTTGGTAAACAACCACTGTAATTAGGTGTCCGTAAACCGGCCAACGCCTGTGGCTCGGGAGTGTGCAATTTTGAAATTTCAATCGAGAGTCTGCAACTGCGGGATCTTCCATGGTTCAAATCCCACACTGCTTTCTTTTCGTCTTTAACCACAGCGAAAACTGACTACTTTGGAAAAAAGTAAGGAATGGTGGCTGTCAAGGTAATCTCAGGCCTAATATGTCATCACTTCTCACTCTGTTCTTCTGGATTTCCGCTTCATTTCTATGTTCTTTTTTATCATCCATTCAGGGTAAGTCGAACTCAACCGTCAATCTTGTTGTGCAAGACCCTAAACTTGGAAGTAGCGGTACGCATTTTCCGCGTAAGCATCATCTTCTTGGTTCATATCCACAAAAAATAGAAGCACTAATGTGATACTAATGTGATCTTCGTGCTTCTATAGTCGCGGGAAGACTCGGAAGTTTTAGCATTTACTCGGATGTAAAGAAAGCTAAAGCTGGGGATCGCATCTCTCTCTGTACCGATTCTAAGTAAGCTCGTTTTCCGTCTTATTAGTTCCCATAATATACATTTATGTGAGTGTGCGTGAAGGGTGAACACATTGATTCATCGTATTAAATCAATATTTTAACCTAGTGTATTTCAAAGCATTGAATTCTAGATTTCTCCTTGATTTAAAAGAAGGTTTTGGTATTCCCAGAGTAAATAGTTATATTGATCTTTAAATAATTCCTTAACATATTTAGCTTAGTTACAGTGTAAAATCAATCTGAATTTATTAAACTATTTCACATTTGTTATGCAGGAAATCTGCACAGCCTGATAGTCGTACTGTCTTGCAGAACATTACCACTTTTAAGGTGCCATAACTTTTAAAAAATGTACTGCTTTTTGTGGTTTATTTATTTGAGTTTTGAATATTCTTGTTTACGTGCTAATATTGATCTCATTGCTTTAACTTCTTTGACCGCAAAGAGGAACATGGAGAAAAGCAAGAGCAAGCATGGTAGTGGAGGTAATGTCCAACTAGAATTGTCTGAGTACTTATAATTTACATGACCCTCGGGTCATTTACTCCGCATACTCTATCTTTTCAGTTAAAGTTGGAACAACTTTTTTGGCTGACATCAGCAACACAAAGTACAGTTTTTCTGCTAGGAATAACGCTGGACGTAAAGTTCTTTCTGATATTACCAATACGAAGAGAAGCATTTCAAGAACTGAGTTTCATGATGGAACCACACAAAAGTAAGTGATTCTGATTAGCCATTGCTTGAAAGGTTAATCTGTATGTTGAAACAAAGTGTTTGCCTCCGTTTTCACTGACTGTTGGTATGGAGACGGCCTCGAATGCTGTTTGATAAAGATATTATATGAATTTCGGGACACTTATCCCAAAAGTGGTGCTGGCTTCCCTCCAACATTATAATTAATAAGTATTAGAGTATTTGACACTGCGTTCTAAATTCTTCTTCCTGTATCCTTACATTATATCACTATTGGATATGCTTTTCGTGGGTGGTGAGTACTTTATCTTATTTTACTGGAATAAATACGTTAAGAGTTAAGATGCATAGAGTTAAGATCTTATATTACATTATCTATTGGATTGATGAAGTCATGAAGGATACAGTTTGTTCCAGAAGAGAGTTTCTTGTTGATTATGAATCATGCCGATCTTGAACATCATACTATTTGTGGATATAGATATTGGGCTTGTATTGCAGCCCATAATGTCTCCAGACTGTGAGGAAGGAATTGGGCTCAGTTGTATCTCTCTTTTTTACCCATGATTCTTTACTCGGAATAATGTTTACAATGCAGGAAAAGTAATGGCAAGAAACTTCCTTATCTACCGCGGTAAGCACTATTAGTATGTTGTGCATATAAACTATGAATGTTTTTCTGTAAAGTTTCAGCAGCACCACTAAAATGCAGCTATATGGATATCAATAAAGAATCACCCTTTCATATCCTTCCCATCCCTCTTTGCCCATTTTAGAATTATTGACTCATCCATTGATGCTTTACTTTTCAATTGTCACCTTGTTGCTTATTTGATGTGTATTACCAGGAGTTCTATTCACATTGGGACTGCAATAGCAAATACTTCATCAAGAAAAGCATTGATGGTATTGAACTAATAGTTCATGTGAAATTCTTTCGTGCCACTTTTTCTTACTTATTTGCTAAACTTTTACTTGTCTGAATGGACAGAAACATAGTTTTTTTTTTGAAAAAGACACCTCTCTACTTTCAACCCTTTCCATGGTTTTAAATTTAAGTTATGTTACAGGCAACATTTTGTTTTTAAAGCTCAGATATTCTGTGATTTTTTTAATCAAGCAGACAAACAGGGGAGCAGGCTCAGCTGAAGCTAGTGGAAAGCATTATATGTTCATGAGAGGTATGCTTTCCTGCACTAGCATATGAGGTGAAGTGTAAAAGTACAATTCATTGTTATATCAAGGTTTTGCTTCTTTATTACAGCAGCCAACCAAGATTTGAAGGCTGGTGCTGCTGATGATCCACGATCCAAGACCAAAAGGAGTATAACTGTTAGCATTGGGAACAGGTAACATGACCTTTTTTTTATTTTTCATTAAAGGCTTGAAGTATTATCACCTTCACATCATATCTTTGTTGGGTTAACAAAATTTCCAGAATTTTTGTACACTGAAGCTATTCTGAAATTTCATTAATGTCTTTTTCCTGTTTTTCGTTGTCAACATGAACACATTTTTTTATATAGAGCAGCAGACCTTGTTTCCTTCTAAATCATGATCAACAAAATGTTCAATGTATAAATATACATTGGAAAGTAATACTCCGTAATATAGTAACTAAAACTTCCAGAGAATCAGGGATAAAATCATCCCTATATTTATTTTTTACCTTCTCTCTTAAGCTAGGCAGTACATGGAATAGAGCCTTGGTCACACTCATAGTTAGATCAGTTAGGTTCGGTCGAAAGAGAGCCTTGGTCAAGATGATTGTAGCTTCTTTTAATGGAACATAGTCGAGTATGATTGTCATGTTTCAATATTCTTAGCAATCACAATTGCAGAATGGTTACCACAAAGAGTTTTATAGAATCTTTGCTCCAATCTTCAGTTCATTAAGCACTCTTTTAAGCCAAATTGCTTTATAGATGCCTAAAGCAAAGCCTAGGGTTTAAAACTGGCGTATGTATTATTGTATTTCTATGAGCTGCCACACTTTGCTTTTTGCAACAAGTCGATTATAAACGGATATATCATGGATTCGAGTTGATTATTTATGTAACAAGTTGGGTATGATAAATATTTGTGCTCCAAATTGAGGGGGAGCGTGAAATATATTAGAATAAATGTAAGAATATGTTAGGAATATACTCTAGGATATAATTATGGTATTGAATTTTATAGGAACATTCTATCTTGTAAAGTTGCAATGTATATTTGTAGGGACTTAAACCTTGAATGAAGACACATAAAGTCTTTCCCTCTTCAAATATTATTCTAGTTTATACTCCATATTTCAATAGAAGAGTTCAAAAGTGTTTTCTCTTCTTCACTCTGTATTTTGTACTAAACACTTTCTGGAACTGCGCGAGATACTCATCCTTGCTACTCCCAATCATGGACATCATTGTGGAATTGGATTGAAACCACTGGAAGTAGTTAGGACCATTAGGCTTGTGTGAGGCATTAGGGACAAGTTTGTTTTCTGTGGCAGGAGAGAGGGGGAGCGGAATAAATGATGGGCAAAAGATTAGAGCAGATGGGTTGTAGAACGAACAACCCTTGGATAGCGGATTCGGATTAGCCATGAGGAACAGATATTTGTAGATGAAAGGGGATATTAGAATTTAGAGATGATAATTAGAGGAGTTGTTGGGGTTCCAGAACCTAGAGCTATGAATAAGTTTTTTTCTTGTTTATGTCATTTCATTTTCATTTACCCCAGTGCCGCAAAGGCTCCCACCTACGGTGGGGTAAGGGGGGGTCGGATGTACGCAGTCTTACCCCTGTATTAAAGCACAGAGAGACTGTTTCCGGATGACCCATAGTGAAAAACGCATCCAAAATTGCATGGACTGACTGCTGCTTCATAACAAAGAAGCGCAAACAGTTTAGTGAGTCATTTTGCTTTTTTTTCTTGTTTATGTATACAAGAAAAAAACCTAGTTTTCTTTTTAAACGACCAGCTACTGTTTATACAAGAAGTCAAGAACACATATATTTAGATATATAGTAAAAGACCTAGTTTCCTTTTTAATGAAGATCTAAATATGTTTCCCAATATACACAAATACTAGCATATTTGGAGAGTAATAAAGCGGGAACTAACATCTTCATAGAAATCATGGTAAAAAATCATGCTAGAGTCCCTGGATTTACGAAGGAAGTCTTTTGTTAAAATCCCTGGACATTGTGCATTTAGTTTCCGTCTTTTGTTCTGTCAAGGACAACTGGCAAGAATCCTGTCCTGCCACTACAGCTTTTGTGGTGTGCTGCATATCTTGTGTTAGCGTCTCTGTCTTCTTACTATATAGATAACTTGTACTGATTAGCTGTTGTTCTAGGAAGTCTGTGCCCGCACTAAAGCGGGTTAATGGTGTGGATACATTTGATGTGAAGAAGGGCCATAGCCCTATGTCTTTTACCTTGCTCTAGTAATGATTTTTTTCATTTTGGTATATACTAACAGCTGGAAAGAATTCTCCCTCGCCATCAAGATTTTTGTAATGTTAATGTTTCTGGTGTAATTCCAATATCTTTTGGGACTAAGACTTGGAGTTTGTTGTTTTGTAATGTTTCTGGTGTAATTATTTCTCTTGTGCAACCAAAAGCCTATTCAGCTTTCTTACTTGTAGGAGATCTCTACCGGCATTAAAGGAGTCAAATGCACGGTACACAAATATTTCAAAAAAGGTGGTTACTATTATCTTGTCACTTCTTTATCTCTTACAACATGATGCATTAAATAGAAAAACTTACTTTGTAGTTTGTCTGCCAACCAAAGTTGTTATTAAATTGCGAGTTGACTCATAAAATAGCACAAGTTAATGATTAAAAGTCATAAAATCGGCTCGAAACATATACAAAGTTAGATTTCTTTAAGAAGTCATACTAAAATCAGGGGGAAACGTGTAAAATCGTGACTTTATGATTTTGAGTTACTTGACATAGCTGAAATGAATAAGGGCGAGAGTGAACCTAAGCGACGAGATTTGTTGCCTGCCTGCGTAGCAAGAGGAGTATTATATAGCGCAATGCAGAGGACAAATTGTTCTCTCGTTCCGGTATGGATGGGATACTAAAAGGGAGGAACAATATCTAAAAAATGCCGCCTTGACAGGGATTTGAACTCGAGGCTATTCAATAGAATTCTGTTAGAACCTCCAGAAATTCAGAAGATTTATGGAAAGATTAGCAAGAAAAACTGATGAAAACTTATTTGATGAAGAAGATCGGTTACACAGAGAAGCAGTAACAAAGGCCGAAGCCTCCCAAAAGAGAAGAGAATAACTCTCTAATCTTTTCCAGTCCTAGTCCAAAAGTCCCAAAAGCCTCCTTACTAATTCCCCTCTCCCGTCTATTTATACTATACAATACCTCAAGTACCCATTGCTAATATATTCTTATTAATACTTCTATTATTAGTCTAATATAAGAGGGTTCCTAACAATACTCCCCCCCTAAACTTCCACCTTGCCTTCAAGGTGGATTATAGGAAACAGCTACAATCTTCGGCTTCCTCTTCCTCTTCCTTGTTCCTCTCCCTTCCCAATATCGAACTGATTGTGGGACCATGAACCTTTCCAAAGATGTCTGGCCGCTTACAAACTCCTCAATCAATCTATATCCTGATGCCATGTGTTGCCTGATGTGTATTGGGATATTGACAAACAAGGAAAAAACTGCACATTGATACTGGGATATTGCCATAACTATTCTTTCCAGCAAGTAGGATTCTACTTCTATATTTCCAACATCTTCTCCTAGCTTGTTTTCCGTTACAAGAACATAAGTGGAACAGTTCAGTTTTGCTTCAGCTTCCAGTCCATTAACAGTAGCCTGAGTAATAGGACCCCGGGCCATACTGATTTTATCCAACTGGTATTCCAAAGTATCAGTAACATACTTCTCCATCCCTCTCCTAAAAACAATAATGCTCAACACCTTGTCCTCTTCTAACCCCTTTTTATTACCCATCATAGAAGCAATGCCCTCACATCTGAAACTATCAAACTTGTTCAATGAGTTCAGCCCTTCCAAATTAATGTTAAATGCCTGCAGAATATCAACTTCACTATTCCCTGAAACTGTTGGTGCCACTTGCTTCAATTCAATATGAATTTCCAGAATTATAGTCCCTTTTAATCCTTTTAATGATGCGGCTATGATTTTAAATTCTGAAATGGATGATTCATGTTGGCATGTTGACATTAGCACCCTGGGAGATATGGTTTGCAATGACCTCTGCGAATGAAGAGACAAGTCTGGCGCAGGGTAAGAATCTACTTGTGATAACAATAGAAGATGCTCGGTTAGCAATGGCGAACAGAGAGAAACAGTACGCGACTGCGAACTAGGGATTTCTACTAGAGTCGAAGCCAGAGGTCCGGAATGAGTATCTTGCGACTGAGACGGACCTTTGCTTTCCGAATTCACACAGCGACGTACCTTCCTCGATCGTCCTCGCCGGTGACGTTGTTTGCTCTTCGCACGTTTCTCCTTCTCTAGGCTTGAGTGTTTCTCTTTCTCCAGGTTTGAGCGATTTTCTTTCTCCGGTTTTAAGCTCTTCTCCTTCTCCACTTTTAAGCGCTCCATCGTTTCCGCGATTTTTCCCAAATTTCCGCTCAGATCCTTTCGCGAGTGCGAAACAGTTAGCGGCTCCTGCGATTCCTTCTGCGACTTAGTGAGCGATTGCGACGGACTCGGCTTGTCACAGGGACGATGATGCCTGGTGTTGCTCGATCGATCTCCATGTTCCTTTCGAAGCTTCGGTTCTTGATGCGACGTATCAGAAGTGTGCGATTGATTCCTCGAACGACTTTGAAGTCGGTTCTGCAAATCTGCAACGCTAGCTTGCATCGCCTCTTGCATAGCGACCATACTCGCTTGTGTCTCCCTCATAATTCGGTCAATATTATCAAAACTCTTTTCCATTTTCGGTGTCAGGTAGAAATCCTCCATGATTCAGATTCTTTGTCTCCTGGATGTAACAGCTTTGATACCAATGTTAGAACCTCCAGAAATTCAGAAGATTTATGGAAAGATTAGCAAGAAAAACTGATGAAAACTTATTTGATGAAGAAGATCGGTTACACAGAGAAGCAGTAACAAAGGCCGAAGCCTCCCAAAAGAGAAGAGAATAACTCTCTAATCTTTTCCAGTCCTAGTCCAAAAGTCCCAAAAGCCTCCTTACTAATTCCCCTCTCCCGTCTATTTATACTATACAATACCTCAAGTACCCATTGCTAATATATTCTTATTAATACTTCTATTATTAGACTAATATAAGAGGGTTCCTAACAAATTCCTTTGCAATACCAACTCAAGAACTACAACTAATGTTGACAAAGCTATTAACATACCTATATTATGCCAACTCGCTGCACCTATTAACATAATTTTATGGTTTGACCTATAAGTGTTAAAGTGAGTTTCTTTTTATATAATTAATTTAATATTTTTTATTTTATTTTATATAAAATCTAATGATTTACCATTCGATTAACCGATTTGTTTTTTAACTCCTTATACCAATTCGATCTAAAATAATATTTTAACAACCTTGATTGCCAACCTGTGGTAGGGAAATGCCAATTTTTTGGAGAATAGGATACCAAAGAATGGATTTCGAGGTTAGACACTAATATACATTATGTAGTTTGTTTACATACAATCATGGGCTACGTGCCTCCATCAGCTTTATTTTCTGTTTTGCTTGTTTCAGCAAAGCCTATGGTTGGACAGAATAGTTTGCCTCAAGTAAGCTATACCTGAACCCTTTAAAGAACATCCTATCACTACTATCATTAAATGGAAAGTTATATGTTTGCTTACATGTATACTACTAATTGGGGTTAGGACGCTGCAAAGAGTTCAATCAAGAGGTTACGAAAACATGGGTTTCCAGGTCAGTTGGCAGTTGCTATATATTATAGGGTGGTTTTGATTGACACATGACAGTTATGTGACAACAGTTTCCATCATCATGATTTTTTTTAATGTTATGCTAGTTTCAGCAAAGCCCAAGGTTGGACAAAGCACATTGCCACAAGTAAGAAACCTCATATCATGGTTGACTGATATCACCTTTGCACATGTGTATTACTCATTGTGGTTAGATAAATTGTTCCCACAACAGCTTATTTATATACTTATCATTGTATTTATAATCTGATAGACTATTACCATTACCATTACTATTACTAAAATAATATTAATTTATTAGAAATATATAACAATATATTTATTTCATTTCCTGAAGAGTGAAAAATGAATTAAAAATGAGTGAGGAAACATTTTCATCCTTTCCGAATGAACCCTCAGTTTTACTTGATGTCATCCGAATGGGTTGACAATATACTTGGAAACATTTTTTACCCTATGCTTTGTTATGTGTTCTGATTTTCAGCCAATTCTTAAAACCACATCTTGGATAGCTGCAAGATCAAAGGGAACACATTGTCAGAGAAGCTCAAGGTCTCAATCTTTCATTTCAGTTCAGCAGAAGGAATACCTTGCCACATCATCTCTTTCTGAACAAATTGTTCCAATATCTTCTAAGCAACCCTCAAAAGAGATTCCTTCTGCCATAAGCCAGGACTTTTCATGTGAACCAGATATTTTAGTTAAGAGAGCATCTGTGCGCAGAAAGTCTTTCACATCTCTACTAGTGACAAGACCAATGGTTTACTTCCAACGTCCTTTCCTTGCAATGCTTATTATATTCATATTATTTCTTGACAATTTGGTAACATCTTATGACTTTCCTAGCAATGCAAGGAGCAAACAAAGCATGTGAGAGAAGAGTCTTTGCCGCAGATTTACGACAATTCGAATCACCTTGATGTTTCTGAATATGTTGATGATATCTATCAATATTACTGGGTAATGGAGGTAATTAAAACGTACTACTTATTTTATGTAGGTCACTAATTACCCTTGTCATTTGTGCAATAAAAAATGTTTGACATTTTCTGTTGCCAATCTCAAACTGCAGGTTCAGCGTCATCCTTTGAAATGTCGCGTGGAGTTTCAAACAGAAATTACACCTCATATGCGTGGTGTATTAATAAACTGGCTTATCGAAGTAACATATATTGTTTCTTGTTTTTTTGAAATGAAACATTTTTTCTTGTTATTTACTACATTTGTACTTTTTTTTTGTTTCATGGCATTGTGTGTCTCTCTTTAATGTACTAACCACTGTTAACAGGTTCATGTAAAATTTGACTTGATGCAAGAGACTCTATATCTGATGGTTACTGTCTTAGACCAGTATCTCTCCCAAGTATGCATCAAGAAAAATGAATTGCAGCTAGTTGGCCTGACTGCACTCTTGTTGGCATCAAAATATGAAGATTTTTGGCATCCAAAGGTAATCATACTTATTAGAAGTTCAGAATAGCTCCATAGTTTGATTTACAGCACCAATACTTGTAGTGGCCCAACACTTTCATTTGTTTGTTTGTTTGTTACAGATCGTGGACCTGATCAGTGTATCAGCAGAGTCATACACCAGAGAACAAATGCTAAGAATGGTAAGCACTGCCTGTACTTTTGTATCACACCTCCTATATATTTTCTAGTATGTGCAGCATCACTTAACAATATTGTGCATTTGGGCAGTGGTTTGACCAATGACAATACATTTCACTTTTTGCAGGAGAAGGATGTTTTAAAAAAAATAATGTTTCGCCTAAATGTACCAACTCCATATGTCTTTATGCTGAGATTTCTCAAGGCCTCCCAAACAGATAAAAAGGTTGCAGCAGAGAATTCTAGAACTATGGGTTGATTTAAATTTCCCATTCCCAATTTAGCAACACTATTTTCTGCAGTCTTGTTCATTCTCTTTTGAAATCTCCTGCCAGTTTGAACATCTTGCATTTTTCCTTGTGGAGCTGTGCTTGGTTGAGTATGAAGCTTTGAACTACAAACCATCTATGATATGTGCATCTGCTATCTATGTTGCACGGTGTACAATACATATGGCTCCAGCATGGACACCCATGCTTGAGAGTCATGCACGCTATCAAGAATCTCAACTCAGGTATATTTCTGGAGTATCATTATATTTTTGTTGTATCCATGATTTGAGCAAATATTTTAGAGTTATTTACAAGCCAAATTAAAATAAAAGACTACTTCTACCTATGGGCAAAAGTGTGAGTTACAACACTAGCATTCATCCCCAAAGAGTTTGAGGTCGGCTAATACTAATAGCCTATTATGAATCGACATAAGACATCAGATTTAAAAGCAATAAACAAAAATGTGATTAAGAGGGTAATGAAATTGGATAGTTATGAATGTCACTAGCAGATTTTTATGTCATTGCCGGTCTTTTCATTATGTAACTTTCACTTACTACCAATGTCGCTTTCGCTGCCATCAATGTCACTGTCATGAAATTTGTCACAGTGATTTCTGGGAATTTTTCCGGTAACTTTTTCCAGTGAATTTTCAGAAAAATCAGAAACTTTTCTCCCGGACTTTTCCAATGACTTTGTAGGGCAGTTTACCACTCGTTTCCAGCGGCGGAGACTGTGGTGCAATGGGGTGAGCAGATTGGTAGGGATTAGAGAGAAGAAGTTTAAATTAATTAAACAAAAGTTAATCATTTTTTTTAAATTAATCATATTTTTGTCTTCCAAAAGTATAGAGATGATATTTATGCTATTCTTCAAGATTCTATTTATACTTACATCCCAATGCTCCACAGAGATTGTGCTGAGATGATCTTGAGATTTCATAAAGCTGCTAGAACTGCTCTGCTACGAGTCACCTTTGAGAAATATATGAGGTCCGAATACAGCAGCGTGGCAGCTATAAGACCTTTAGGAAAACTGCCCCAGTTTATATAATCCTTAAAATTCCTAGGATTGCAAGGTTGTTTAGTAGTGGAGGGCTATGATTTTTCCCAAGTACTTTGTAAAAAAACTCAAGTACGAATGTAGTTTAGATATTGTTGGGCAGACCTAATAACCTGGTTGTTTGGCAGTGGATGGACGATTTAAGTCATTTTAAAGTAACTTTAAAGGCACCCATCCCAAAAATGCCGGTATTTTGAGAGTCTCTATAATGTCCAACCGGCTGTACGGCGGCAAGCACCGTTCAACCGATATCATTTTCATAATTTAAATGAAAATCACGATTTCTGTTAAATGAGTTTTAATGCACTTTTAGTGAGCATCAAACTTATTTTGTTGAGTATTAGAATTTAGAAGTCAAGTATTGAGCATTGTGATCTCAACTTCATATCTTGTAATTCATTTTTTTGTATTTTAAAAATATCTATAATGAACCTACATGAATCCAATATGGGAATGTAGTGTAATATTATAATTTTGAAATATGCATGAATATGATATTTTAAAATGATTATTATACCAGCATCAAATGAGCATACATAACTTATGAAATGAGCCTGGAAAAATTCAAAAAAATCATTTAAATCTCTAGTATGCTCAAATATTAAATGAACACACATAACCTATGAAATGTGCATCAAAAAGTTTCAAATGAGCATTACACCAATATGCATGGATATGTTGTTTTAAAGAGAGAATTCCTTAAATAGGAGTAAAAAAGTTTTGAAATTTCAAAATACATCATTTTTTTTTCATTGAATAGGAATAAATTTCTGTCAAGTTTGGCATTACTAGGGTTTAAACATGGCATTTTTTTCCAAACTTGGCAAGTTACTCCTATTCAGTGAATAAAAAACATGATATTCATATTTTGGAATTTCAAAACATTTTTGCTCATATTTAGAGCAATTTCTATATTTTAAAATGAATACTACACCAATATCAAATAGACATACATAGGGGGATGGACTCGGACCGGACCGGACCCGGTTTTGGTCTCGGAACCGCCGGCCCCGGTTTTTGAAATCGGAGACTGGAACCGAGCCGGTTTCATACGGACCCGGTATTGGGCCGGTCTACTCGGCCGGTTCCGGTCCGGTCCCCTTTTTTTTTAAGTTATTGGAAAATAAAAACATGATGTATACTATCTATTTATTATAAACACTAGAATGTCACTTGTATCAATATGGCATTTGAAAATTACGATTGAGAATACTTTAAAGTTAAAAAACACAACTTGAACTAATCGTCGTCATCGCCGCTTCCGGCGTCGATTGTCGTTTCCTCCATGAAATGGCGGTCTGGTGCTATGTTGAGTTCATGTGTTTTACGGCGGGCCTTCAACCAATCATGGAAGCGTTCAACCTCGTTCTATAGTGAGTTAAATATTTAAATCACTTAATTGCAACTACTATGAAATAAAATGTACCAACAATTAAAATGTGACTTACCTAAATGTGACTAACATTTAAAATGTGACAAACTACTTAGATGTGACTAACAATTAAAATGTGACTAACTACTTAATGTGTAGAACTATTAAAATTTAACAACTACAATATAACTATTTTTTTTGAAGAACTAGTTAAATATTTAAATCACTTAATTGCAACTACTATGAAATAAAATGTACCAACAATTAAAATGTGACTAACAATTAAAATTTGACTAACTACTTAATGTTTAGAACTATTAAAATTTAACAACTACAATTTAACAAAAATGTATTAATGTATATATAATAATGTATAACAATTACCTATATATATTGTTTAATATGTATATATATGTGTGTGTATATATTAAATTATATACTATCGTGTGTGTGTGTGTGTGTATATATATATATATATATATATATATATATATATATATATCGTATATATATTAAATTATATTAATGTATAACAATTACATAATTATACAATGGGAAGTAATGTATGAAGTAATTAACAAAAATGAAGGAAGTAGGAACTAGTTAATTACAAATGTATACAATTAAATATATATGTTAAATATGAAGGTGTAGGAGTGTATAAATATAATTGTAATATAATATATTTAATAAGAAAGATTGAAAGAGTAGGAGTAGGAATGTAGAAATAGAAATTATAAATATTTATATAGTATTATTGTGTAATTAACAAAAATGTAGGAAGTAGGAACTAGTTAACTACAAATGTATATAATTAAATATATATGTTAAATATGAAAGTGTAGGAGTATATAAATATAATTGCAATATATTATATTTAATAAGAAAGATTGAAAGAGTAGGAGTAGGAATGTAGAAATAGAAATTATAAATATTTATATAGTATTATTGTGTAATACTAAATAAGTATATAAATATAATTATAATATGATAATATATGAATTATAAAAGATGAAAGTTTAAATGTGAATAGAGTAGAATTAGTGATTGAGAAATTGAGAATTGATAGTAGAATGTGAGTACGGGTAGAATAGTGTGAAAAATGTATAAAATGAGTAGGTATTTATAGGGAAAAAATCCACAGGAGGATTTATTCAGTCACATAGTTTGGGCTCCTAGACTATGGCATCCTTGGGATTTTCTGTGTAGCGAGCGGATCCTTTATGATCAAGAGGATGAGCTTCAAGAGAATGATTCGGAGTTCTTACAGAGTGAAACCATGCAGTCTAAGACACGAGATAAATCTTCCAAAGACAAAGGCTTTTTTCAAATAAGCCAATGGCAAAAGCCGTTGGCTTATTCCCCCATCCCTACCCCCCATCCCCACCCCCAATGGCAAAAGCCGTTCCAAACGGCTAGTTTCACCCCAGCCCCCTATTTAATTTTTTTTAAAAAAAAAATTGGCCGTTGGGACCGGAACCGGGACCACACGGTCCGGTCCCCAAAAACGTGACCCGGGACCAAGTCCTTATTTACCCGATCCTAGACCGGAACCGAAAAATCGGACCCGGTCCGGTCCCGCACAGTAGCGGGCCCGGTTCCGGACCGGTCCAGGACCGTCGACCGGGTCCATGCCTAGGCATTCATAATTTATGAAATGAGGATCGAAAAATTCAAAAATGTTTGTATGCTCAAATACTAGTTTGTATATGCTCATATGAGTATAACATAAAGAAAGAAGCACCATCCACAAATGGAATTGCACTCATTAATTAAAAGCATCAAATCCCAAATAGGGGTAGACTGGGCTTCGGGCCGGGATTGGGCGAGCTGCGGACCTAAAATTTCCTGGCTCGGTACCGGCCCGGATTCGTACATGTACTAGGTCGGGTCGGGCCCAGGCCGGGCCAAATAATTCAAACCCAATTTTATTTTGAATTCTTGACCGTTAAGCCCGAACCGGTCCATTAAAAACTAAAGCCCGATGTTAGCCTTCTTATTCCACCGGGTTGGGTCTCGGGCTGGGTCCCAGTCAATGGGGCCGAGCCTGCACAGTAGCGGGCTGGGTCAGGTCGGGTGGCGGGCCGGGTAGACCCATCCCAGTCCATCCCTATTCCCTAATCCCAAATGGAGATTAATCCAGTAGAATCCAGCTTGTACAACCCAATGATCTCAAGATGATACCTAACGATTCAGTCCCTCTGTCCCTGCCTAGCATAACCCAACCCGTCTCTTGTTTAGAAAACACCAAACATTCAAAACCTCCCTCTTAACGTGGGGAACAAATAGGTCTAGCATCACCTCAATCGTCTTCTGTAACGTGGGTAACAACACTTCTCCAACTCTCCAATAATATGACCGCAACAAGATGTCTGGCGAAACTTCACCAAATCAAAAACAGCTCGCCCCAATCACCCTTGATTTAATAAAATATTACAAAAATACTCGCCTGTACCGATCACACGGTACACGCGGTTGTACGGTATATTTTGGTTAAATATTCAAAAAAATCTTTGTATTATCTTATTTCGTTTTTATATGCGTAGATCTATTTAGTGCTCTTTGTGTGAGTCTTGGGAAATGTAACTTCAAGGTTATTTGAATGATTTCTTCTTTAATTGACTTCTTGAACTAATTACGTCCATCAAATAACTCTGAGATTGGTGAATCCGGGAATCAAAAGTATTGTGGATTAAAAAATTAACACAAACATATACTCCGTATATATATAAAAAATCAATATTTATTAAAAAAAGTCATGGAAATTGCCCCTACGAGACTTGAGATTTCAAAGTATAAAGTTCATCAATAACGAAATTTAGATCTATGTTGTTTACAAAGTCTCTTTCAATATCGATCATTTGGTCACTAGAATCTTCAAAAAAAAAAATCCCCATTTTGTTAAGAAGAGTTAATTACAAATTAACATCGGTGAGGATCTTCATTAGGTTGTATTTGCACAATTGCATCGTGGTAGATATAAGGTGAGGTGGGTTTGAACTCCTGTTGTGAATTTGACAATCCAACATCATAAAGAATGACGAAATCAATGTCTTTCCTTTCTTAGCAACATGTTGATCACACATTTGAACTCTAGAATAGTAAGGGGGTGTTTGTAAACAACATATCAGTCATATTTGGCTTTTCGGATCGATTTTAACTATTTGACATAGTCAAACAACTATTTTAATTGTTGGTAAACAACCTTTTGTTATGAAAAAAAACCCAAAATGAAAAAGTAAAAAATGAAAATGCCAAATATGAAAAAGTCACTTTGATTATCTTTTTCGCAATAAATTTTTAATATCTACTTACTTAATAATAAAGTACAACCTTCTAAATTGAAATTGAGTTATCAATTAATCGCTATCGAGTCCAATTAGAGAATAGTCATTAATTGCAATTAAGTCCTAAAATCATAGTATTTACATATATTATGAAACGTCAATTTCTAAATAATTTTCAAAGAATATAATCATTCCATTTAGAGAGAATATGTATTTTTGGAATATTTTGTAATATTAAATTTCAGTACATATTTTTGAATGCTTTATCGATTTAATTCTAGAAAATCAATAAATTTGAAAAGCTTTCATCCGGTATTCTGAAATATTTTGTATGTTCTGTTTTAAGGAAATGAGACATTTTCAAATGATTTGTATTTTCATATATTCCATTCAATTTACATACTAATACTACACAATATTAAGTTGCTTTTAATGATAATAGTTATTTTTATTTAAAAAACATGTAAAAGAATAAATTGATTTTTAAAAAAAAATTAAGTGAGTTTTTATATTTATTTAAAAAATAAAGTGAGTTTTATTTTTAAATATCAAATGATTAGTTTTCCTTAAAAGATACCCAATAAAAACCATAATTTCTGTTAAAAATATGCGATAAAAATGTTAGTGTTTTCAAAACATAAGAGGTAATGATTAGAAACT